CAAATATAGGTTTTGCATGAATATAATCAGGTGTTAGAGGATTTTCATTCTTCTCAAGGTTAGCCACAATTTGTTGTGATTCACACAGTCAAATGCCTTTGCATTGTCAATGAAAGACAGACAAACATTCCTCTGATACTCTCCACTTTAAGCTAAGATCCATCTAATACTGACTATAATGGCCCTAGTGACATGGCTCTGCACATGTGGCAGTTCTCTGCTGACTGACTGAGCCATTTTTGGATTATCTTTAATAGGATCTTGCTTGCATGTGATAGTCATGATACTGTTTGATAACTTGCACACTCTGTCAGATCACCCTTTTTTTGGGAATGGGAATAAATATAGATCTCTTCCAATGAGCTGGTCTCCAGATTTCTTGGCACAACATGAGTGCATCCACAGTAGAATCTGTTTGTTGAAATATGTCAACAAGTATGTTGTCAATTCCTGGGGCCTTGTTTTTTGCCAATTTCCTCAGAGCAGCTTGAGCTTCCTTCTTCATCACCATTGCCTCTTGGGTATATGCTGTTTCATAAAATTCTTCTGTGCCAGCCAATTCTTTTTGGTACAGTGACTCTGTGTATTCCTTCCATCAGTGTTAAGATAGCTCTTAACCTTGAGAATCCACGACAACTCATAGGGACTCTGAACAATAGATAGAATACTTGCCCTATCTTGTACCATCCCCACAATCTCTCCACCATATTTAAGCCCACTACTCAAGTCATGGTGTCACTCCATCTATGAGGATCTTCCTCTTTCACTATCCTTTACTTTACTAAGCATGATGCCTTTTTTCCCTGACAGCATGCCCATAATACTTAAGACAAATTTCCATTTATACGCACATTGATATGGTAGAAAAGTTTGAATATATGACAAATATTTTTAGGTATAAATATGTGTACATCTGGCCACGTAATATCAAGAATTTCAAGCAATGGAAGCTAGAAGAACCAAGTAAGTTTTCAACCCTAAAAACTTCAGAGTGAGCACTTCATTGCTATAAAGTCAGAAATGACTTATAGCTGATCTTCCATTAGGTTTCTATAGCTTAAATCGCAAAGGGGATTGTCCATCTTTTTTTCATGGAGTAGAGTCAAACTGCCAGAGAAGTGTGGCCTCTGGGTTAGCAGCACTGCTCCCTACAAAGTATGCTACCAGAGAAGGGATGGTACCAGTAATACCTTTATTTTGGATTTGTGACCTGTGAAAAAACAATTTTTCCTGTTTTCAGACATATCAACACCAAAATACATGTCTAGATAAAAGTAAGTGAGAGTAATAGAACAGAGACAGAAGCTCAAATGGAGCAGGGGGAGGAACAATTCAAACACCTCATTGCAGAAAAAAGTTTTTATGCTTTAAAATAATGAATGGTACTTTGATTCCATTTGATATATTAAACAGTGATGTATTCTATTGATGTATTATTTAATATGACAGAAATATGCTAGTTACCTTTGTAACTATTTAAATATTTGCTAAAATTCTGTAGCTACAATTTTAATATGTAAAAGATGACAAAGTTTTATTAAATAAAATTTTTGTAAAAGTTTTATGGGACACATGAGTAACAAATTTCAAATTCCACCATCAAATGAACAAAACTGTTAAGAGTCACCTAGATAAGACTGTACTTTAAGAGCAACAAAAACATTATCCTTGAATAACTGTGTATACCACATGGAGGAATGGGGAGCTGACATGAATGAATGGTGAATACACAAATGTCAACATGTAATTTTTTATAATGGAAATGCAGTACAAATAAAATTTCTACTAGAAATCAATTACAAAATACAAAAATCTGACACAACTACACACCAAATCTCACACAGACTATGTCAGCATAGTTGAAACCTTAATAAATATTTTAAGAAATATAGCTGAAACTTAAAATAACAACAAATACATTTCTTTGAGTCTTCTTAAAAGACGTAAGTAGTAGATTAAGTGGCAGTAAGAGTTTTTTTAAAGGAAGATATTAATTTCAGATAAATTATCCATCTTAGTTATAAATGAAGTAATCACTTAAATGAAGTGTGACAGCACTGTATCTCTGATTTAAGATTTAAAGCTTGTGTAAAGCCATAATTCCTTATCATCAAAACTAAATGTTGAAAACATAATAGATTTCTACTAAACATAAAATTCTAACTCTTAGGGGAGCTCTGGTAACCTAGTGGGGCAAGAAGCTGCACTGCAATGCCAGAGATATTTGGTTCGAATCCACCGATGCTCTGCCAGAAAAGGAGGGGCAATTTCCTCCTGTATCAGTCAGATCCAATTTGACAGTACACACACACACACACACACACATAATAATAAAATTTAAAAAAGCAATTTAAAAAAATTCTCTTTTGAGTTTTCTACATTTTCTAAATTTCCCAATTAACTCTCATTTTCTCCACTAAGTTACAGAGAAGCCATCATAAAGGATCTGCTTAAACAAGGAGTTTCCTCCTGAAAACTAATGGCATCTTCTCATGGGTTTTGTCATCAGTATGGCCCAATCAAAAGATAACAATACCTATTGTCTATGATATACTCTCACTAAATGAAATAGTGGTTTAAATTGTGTACTTGAATATATTTTAAATATACCTAAGTTGTTGCTGTTAAGTGTTAAGTATGACTCCCAAAGAGCCTATAAACAACAGATCTGAACCTTGTTCTACCCTGTGCCAACCTCACAATATCTAACATTCAAGTTCAATGTTATAATCACTATGTCGAGCCACCTAGTTGAGGGTCTTCCTCTCCTTCTCCGTCCCCCCATGTTTCCAAGCATGATGTCACTCTCCAAGGAAAAATTTCTCCTAACAACATGCCCAAAATATGCAAGATGAAACCACTATGCTTGCCTCCAAGCAGCACTCTGGCTGCACTCTCCAAGATGTATCTTTTTGTTCTTTAGTAGTCCATGGATCTTCAGTACTTTTCTCCAACACCACAGTTCAAAGGTATCAAACTTTCTTGTTATTCTTAAGTCACTGTCCAGCTCTCAGATGCACAGCAATTGATTGCTAAATCAGACATAACTTACTCTTCAAACTGGTATCATTACTCCTTAGTAATTTTTAGAGGTCCGGGACTGCAGATTTCCCAGTGTAATATGTCTTCTAGTCTCCTGACTCCTGGTGCCAAATGTACTGATTGTGGATGCAAGTAAAAAAAAGTCATTGACAGTTTGAATCTTTTCTCCACCTATCATGATGTTGCCTATTGATCCAGTGATAAGAATTTTTGTTTTATTGATGTTGAGATGCAATTTATATTGAACATTTCAGTACTTGTTCCTTCTGCAGCAAGTGTTTCAAGTCCTCCTCATTTTTAGCAAGCAAAGTTCTGTCATCTGCATACTTAAGTTTATTGATAAATCTTCCTCCAATCCTGATGCCACATTTTTCTTCAGAGTCCAGCTTCTCAAATAATTTGTTCAGCATACTGAGTAAATAGGTATGGAAAAAGGATACAACCCTGATGTACACTTTTCTTGCTCTGTTCCCCCAAAAGTTTCTTGGTCTAGTCATAGGTTCCAAATAAACACAATTAAGTGTTCTGGGATTTCCACTCTTCTCAATGTTAGCCATAATTTGTTATAATCCACTCAGTCAAATACTTTGGCTTTGGCACAGTCAATAAATCATAAATAGACATTCTTCTGATATTATCTGCTTTCACCCAGGATCCATCTGACATTAGCAATAGCCATAGCCTCTTCTAAATTCAGCTGAACTTCTGGCAATTCTCTCTCAATGTACCCATCTAGCTGATTTTTAATGATCTTTAGCAGTATTTTGCTTGCATATGATATTATTCGATAATTTCCACATTTTGTTTGATCACCTTTCTTCAGAATGGGAACAAATATGGATCTCTTCCAGTCAGTTGACCAAGTAGCTTTAATCTAAACTTCTTGGGATGATCTAGTGAGCACACAGGACTGCCTCTGTCATTTAAAAGATATCAACTATTATCACATCGATTACTGGGATCTTATTTTTTGCCAATGCCTTACTGCACCTTGAACCTCTTCCTTCCTAAGCATTGGCTCTTGAACATACATGGTATTTCCTGAAATATTTCAGTGTCAGCAAATTTTTTTTGGTACAGCCAATTCTGTGTATCTGCCTACATCTTCTTTTGATGCTTCCTGGATCACCCAAGATTTTGTCCATAGCATCTCTAAATGCTGCAACTCAAGGCTTGAATCTGGTGGGTTTTAATCTTTTAAAGTAGTTTAAATCTGCATATGAGTATATTTAGTATATATTCAAGTACATAATTTAAACCACCCTTTCATTTGGTAAGAGTATACTAACAGGAGGGAGCTCTTGTGTTGGTGGTGGTGGTGTGTGCTGTCGAAGAGGAAATGACTCAGAGCTGACCTTCCAGCAGGTGGCTTAGTGGTAAGGAACTGTGCTGCTGATGCAAACATATGTGGTTTAGAATCACCAGCTACATGACTGTTGGCAACCTCCTCCCATGGAATTTACTGCCGCTGAAAACCAGCTGGAGGGTCAGCTATGAGTTGGTTCTGACTCAGGAGTACACAACAACAACAAACTTATATGACTTAATGTAATACTAATTGAATAATTATGTGTAGAGCTTAAAGTATGGAACTATGGCTTAGTGAAGTCACATTAACATGTAATACATGGTACATGTTGAAAATATACAGCCTGATTAAGTTTAGCACATATATACAAATATAGAGCCCTGAGGGCACAGTGGCTAAAGCACTCTGATGTTAACCTAACAGTCCGTGGCTTAAACCAACCAGTCACTCAATAGAGAAAAGATAAACAATCTACTTCCCCATGGATTTACAGCCTTAGAATTTCTATCGTAGAGTTCTATTCTTTTCCGCAGGCTCACTGGAGTAAAAATCCAATTGATGGCAATAAGTTTTGTATACAAAATTTAACTTCTCAAAATTTTCCTTTGCCAAAATGTAAATAAGATTTACTCTTTAAAAATGTACTCACCTTCATGTAATTCACAATCTTAGCAAGCACTCCAAACTTATACCCAGAGCTTCCTGAGAGAGCTTTCAAGTTAAACGATCCATTAGTATGATCTGAAAATGAAGTTCAGAAGACAATTATATGGAATCTGCAACTTCTTTTCCTTTTCTCTATCCCTCATATGAACATTTACATGTTTAAGTAGAGGATACCCAATTAAAAGTTAAGCCAAAACAAAACAAAAACCAATCACAACTATATGCAGTATACAAGATCAATACATAAAAATGAACGGCATTTTATATAGCAATGGACACAATAAATAATTCTATTGGCAGCATCATTTTAAAGAAGGAAATATTCCGGAAAATGAAAGACTTGAAAACTACAAAACCTGCTAAAAGAAATTAACACACACTCTCACTCCCTCACAACTGTCCTCAAATTAAAACCAACTCATGGCTGACCCTCCACAGATTTTCAAAGGCTGTAAATCACACAAGAGTTTGCCTATCTTTCTTCCATGGAGCTGCTGGTGTATTTTAACCACTAGGGAGGCTCTGCCGTTGGATTAGCAGTGCCATTTCCCTGTACACTTTGTCAGCAAGAATCCCTAAAAGAAATTATCTTTTAATAATAATTTAAACTAAACTAATGGAGCACTAAATAAATGGACTCTCTATCCATCTCTCAGTTTGTCACGCTGAGGTGGTTTGCACGTTGCTCTCATACTAAAGCTTGCTAACAGTATTTCAAATACCAGCAGGTTTAAGATGAACAGTGAGTAAGTTCTGGTGGAACACCTAAAATAATAGGGCCTAGGAGAAAGGTAGGTAATCTACCAAAATTAGCTAAAGAAAATGGTATGCATCACAACTGAATACTGCCCAATAGTGCTGGAAAAGGCGCACCCTAGTTTAAAAGGCATTTAAAATACAAAATGTCACAGAAATGGACATAAGAAAACCAACAATTATGAAGAAAACAGAAGATCAGGAAATTTTCGTGCTTCATTTTCTTGTACATGGGTTTGCAATGAATCACAGGTGATAAACAGCAACTAATAACAACTCAACAAAATATTGCAAGACATGTAATGTCTTTTTTGGGGAAACTATAAAATATCTTTAATATACACTATATAAAAATTTTTTTGAAAATTTAATACAAATTTGAGTTTATCTCATTTGACTTTAAAAACTATTTTAAGAATAGATTTGATACATTTAACACTAATGACTAAAGATCAGATGAGTTTGGGAATCACATCAAAGATATCATCTATGAAGAAAGCAAAAAAAGATATTAAAAAGACAGCAAAAGAGATAATACAGATGTCTGAAGAGACCCTGAAAACTTGTTTATCAAAATGTTGTTTTTGTTATATGCCATTGAGTCACTTGTGACTCATCGTGACTCTATGTACAACAGCCCTAAACCCTGCTCTATCCTTTGCCAATCTCACTGTCTCCGACACATCTATCCCCATTAACCCAGTGACAGAATCAAACCATCTCATCAAGGGTCCTCCTCTCCTGCGCTGTCCCTCCACCATCCCAACCATGACGGACCTGTCCAAGGACGGGTCCCTCCCTGTAACATGTCCAAAGGATGTCAGATGAAGCTTCAGAATCCTTGCCTCCAAGGAAAAGCCTGGCTTCACCCTCTCCAAAATGAACCTGTTCTCCCAGCAGTCCATGGTATATTCAATATTGATCTCCAGCACCAAAGCTCAAAAGTATCAACTCTCCTTCTATCATTCCTGGTCACTGTCTAGCTCTCTGAAGCATAGCAAGTAATGGCAAAAACCATGGCCCATGCACCTTAGTCTCCAGAATGACATCATTGCTCCTCAGTAGCTTGGAGAGGTCTTTGACCGCAGACTTTCCCAATGCAATTTGTCTTTTCATTTCCTTGCTGCTGGTACCAGGAGTGTTGACTGCAGAGCAAAGCAAACTAAAGCTGTCAACAATCTCAATCTCTTCACCCATATATCATGATGCTGCCAATCGGCCTGGTGGTGAGAATCTTTGTTTTCTTGACGTTGAACTTCAACCCATATGAAAGGTTGCAATCCCTGACTTTCTGAAGCAAGCACTTCAGGTCCTCCTCAGTTTCAGCAAGCAAAGTTGTGTCATATGCGTAACGCAGATTGTTGATCAGTCTTCCTCTAATCCTGATGCCACATTTATCCCCATACAGCCCAGCCTCCCAGATAATCTGTTCTGCATATAGACTGAAAAGGTATGGAGACAGGACCCATGCCTGGCATATACCCGTCCCAATTTTGAACCATGCAGTGTTCCCTTGCTCTGTTCTGACGACTGCCTCCTGGTCCAAGCATAAGTTTCCCATAAGAACAATCAAATGTTCTTGGATTCCCATTCCTCTCAAAGTCAGCCAGAGTTTGTTGTGATCCACACAGTCAAATGCCTTTGCATAGTCAAAAAAACAGATATTCCTCTGGTATTCTCTGCTTTCAGCCAAGACCTATTTGACATCAGCTATAATGTCCCTAGTGCCACAGCCTCTTCTAAATCCAGACTGCACTTCAAGCAGTTCTCTGTTGATGTGCTGTTCTAGTCATTTTTGGATGATCTTCAGCAGAATCTTGCTTGCAAGTGATATCAATGATATTGTTCATTAATTTCCACACTCTGTTGGATCACCTTTTTTTTTTAATGGGAACAAATATAGATCTCTTCCAGTCAGTAGGCCAGGTGGTTGTCCTCCAGATTTCTTGGCACAACTTAGTGAGCACATCCAGGCTAGCATATGTTTGTTGAAATATATCAATCAGTATGCCATCAATTCCTGGTGCCAATTCTTTCAGAGCAGATTGAACTTACTCCTTCATGACCACATGCTCTTGCTCATATGTTGTTTCATGAAATTCTTGTGTCCACCAAATTCCTTTTGGTACAATGATTCAGTATACTCCGTCCATCTTCTTTTAATGCTTTAATATTACGCCCAAAGCATCCTTAAGTATTGCAACTCGAGGTTTGAATTTGTTCTTCAGTTCCTAGGGCTTAAGAAATGCTGAGTGAGTTTGGCCCTTTTGATTTTCTGACTCCAGCTCCTTGCACATTTCATTGTAATACTTTACTCTGTCTTCCCTTGTTGCCTTCTGAAATCTTCTGTTCAACTCCTTAATATTTTTATTTCTCCCCTTTGCTTTGGCTTCTTGGTGCTCCAATGCAATATTTAGAGTCTCTTCTGACATCCATCTTGGTCTTATCTTCCTTCTCTGCCTCTATAATGATCTTTTGCATTTTAATGTATGCAAAGGCTAAAAAGGGAAGAAATTACGAAGACAGATGAACAGAAGATTTCAAAGGGCAGCTCCAGATATGAGGCTTAACAGTAACTTAACAAAATGTGCAAAGAGCTCGAATTAGAAACCTAAAAAGAACATGCTTGGCATTTCTCAAGTTAAAAGAACTAAAAAGAAATCAATTCAAGCCTTCAGTTGCAATCCTGAAGGCTTCCATGGCAAAAAACAACAACAAAATAAAACAAAGCAAAACTCTGAATGATGCAGGAAGCAACAAAAGACGATGAAAGGAAAATATAGAGTTATTGTACTAAAAGGACTGATCGACACTGAATCATTTCAGGAAGCATCATATGATGAAGTGCTAACAGTAATCAAAGAAGCTGCTCAAGCTGCACCAAAGACACTGGCAAAATAACAAGGCCCCTAAAGTTGACAGAATATCAACTATGAGGTGTTTGAGCAAACGTATGCAGCCCTGGATGTATTCAAGTAAATGTCAAGAAAATAGTTACTTGGCCATATCAACTGGAAAAGAGCCATATCTGTTCCCATTTGAAAAAAAAAAAAAAGGTAATCCCACTGTGTGTGGAAATTATCCAACAATATCATTTCTATCAATGGTAAGTGAAATTTTACTAAAGGTTATAAAAATACATTGGAACATTACATCCAGAGAGAACTGCCAGAAACTCAAACTGGATTCTGAAGAGGTCATGGACCAAGTGATATCACTGCTATGTCAGAAGGACTTTGGCTTTAAGCAGAGAATATCAGAAAGATGTTTACAAGATATTCAACTATCTGCATCATAATAAATTATGGATAACACCAAGAAAAACAGTGGTAATTCCAGAACACCAACTGTACTCATGCGAAACATGTACAACAAATAAATGGAAATAAGTAATCAACTCTACTCATGTATTAACAGAACGATGTTGCTGTTATGTGCCGTCGAGTCATTTGCACCTCATAGGGACCCTATGTACAAGAGCCCTAAGCCCTGCTCTATCATGTACCAATCACAGTGCCTCTGACACACCCATCCCGATTACCCCAGTCACTGAATCAATCCACCTTAAAGAGGGTCTTCCCATCCTGTGCTGTCCCTCCACCCTACCTAGCATGGTGTCCCTCTCCAAGGACCTGTTGCTCCTTACAACATGTCCAAAGTACGTCAGACGAAGCCCCAGAATCCTTGCCTCCAAGGAGAGGCCTGGTTTAACCTTTTTCAGGATGAACCTGTTTATTTTCTTAGCAGTCCACGGTATATTCAATTCAATACTCTTCTCCAGCACCACAGCTCAAAGGCATCAATTCTCCTTCTATCCTCCCTAGTCATTGTCCAACTCTCTGATGCATAACAAGTGACTGCAATGACCATGGCCTGTATCAGATGCACCTTAGTCTCCAGAGAGACAGCAAAATAGGAGTGAAAAAATTATTAAGGCACTACCACTACCTAACAAGGCTCTGGTGGCCTATTTAGTCCGTAGGGAGCTGGACTACACACTCAGAGGCTGTACCTTTCCGGAGGTTGAAATCCAGCAATGGCTCCAAGGAACAAAGATACAAGTAATGGCCTATCTTGGTATTTACAGCCTGGGAAACAGTTTCGTTTTGCTAATAATGAGTAACCACTATACAGGATAACAACATTGTCTTCACACTCTGAAAAAAATGACATTATTCTCTAGTGTGCAGAACCTACACGAAAGAGAAATTATTTAAGAGCAGTTATAATTTTGTTGTATATTTAGAAAATCTAAAGCATGGAGATTGATGCCTTTGAACTGTGGTGTTGAGTAAGAGTACTGAGTATCTCAAGGTATG